CCCCCTCCTCTCACACCGGTTCCTCGCCCCTGCCTCCTTACCCCCCCCCCCCCCCCCCCCTTCCCCCCCCTCCCCCCCCCCCCCCCCCCGCCGGTCCCGCCTGCCACAGGTCAATGTCGGCTGCGTCCCCAAGAAGGTCATGTTCAACGCGGCCTCCATCGCCGACACCCTGCGCAATGACGCCCGCGACTATGGGTTCGGCAAGAACCTGCACGCCGACGTCGGCCGGTCCTCGGACGAGGCCAACCCCGGCTCCAAGCAGGTCCACTTCGACTGGCAGCACCTGAAGCGCGCCCGCGATGCCTACGTCGCCCGGCTGAACACCATCTACAACAACAACCTCAACCGCGACTCGGTGGACTGGGTCCTCGGCCATGCCTCCTTCATCGATGCCAAGACCGTGAGCGTGGCCATCCCGGCCGATGGCGACACCCCTGCCACCACCCGGCAGATCACCGCCCAGCACATCCTCATCGCCCCGGGTACGCACCCTGCGCCCTGTGCCCGGTCTCCCCCTGGCCCGGCGGCCCCCTGGCGCGCCCCCCGGCCCCGGTGTACTTGCGCCCACTGACACCCCCCGCCCTCTCCCCCCGCCCGGCGGCGTGCCTCCTCTTCGCCAGGCTCCACCCCCAACATCCCCAAGATCCCCGGCATCGAGCACACCATCGACAGCGATGGGTTCTTCCAGCTGGAGGACCTCCCCCGCCGGGTGGCCATCGTCGGCGCCGGGTACATCGGCACCGAGTTCGCCGGTGTCTTCAACCAGCTGGGCTCCGACACCACCATGTACCTGCGCGGTGCGGCGCCGCTGCGTGGCTTCGATGACCTCCTGCGCCGGACCCTGCTGGAGGAGATGCGCAACTCCAACATCAACATCCGGGCCTACACCACGGTCACCGGCGTGCGCAAGGACCCGGCCACCGGCGAGCTGTATGTCAGCCTGCGCCAGGTGACCACCCCGGACACCCTGACCGCCGACGCCACCCCCGACCCCGACGCCCCGACCGAGGCCATCGACCTGCCGGAGGAGGGCCCCTTCGACCAGGTGGTCATGGTCACCGGCCGCGTGCCCCGCACCGAGGGCCTGCACCTGGACCGCGCCGGCGTGGTCACCACCCGCCAGGGGTACATCCAGGTGGACCGGTACCAGAACACCTCCACCGAGAATGTCTACGCCCTGGGCGACGTGTGCGGCAAGGCCGAGCTGACCCCGGTGGCCATCGCCGCCGGCCGGCGCCTGGCCATGCGCCTGTTTGCCGGCTTCCCGGACAGCCACCTGGACTACGATGCCCCCATCACCACGGTGGTCTTCAGCCACCCGCCCTGCGGCACGGTCGGCCTCACCGAGGAGGAGGCCCGCGAGAAGTATGGCGCCAAGAACATCAAGGTGTACACCAGCACGGTGCGTCGTGGCTCGGCTCGGCTCGCCTCCGCTCCCTTCCCCCCCCCCCCCCCCCCGGCTTCCGGACACTGACCCTTCCCCCCGCACCTCGGGGGCTCCCTCCTCGCTCCGCTCCCTGCGCGCGCACTGTGTGCACCACGCAGTTCACCAACATGTACCACGCGGTTTCCTCCTTCAAGACCAAGACCGCCATGAAGATGGTGTGCCTCGGCCCGCAGGAGAAGATCCTCGGTCTGCATGTGATCGGCCGCGGCGCCGACGAGATGATCCAGGGCTTCGGCGTGGCCGTCCGCATGGGTGCCACCAAGCAGCAGTTCGACGACACCGTGGCCGTCCACCCGACCGCCGCCGAGGAGTTCGTCACCATGGTCTAAGACGCCGGGCGGCCGTGTGGCTGTGACCCCACATCCGCCCCTCTCTTCCTCCTGTTGCTCCCTCGCCCTCCTCTCCCCGTGCGCGGGGATTGTATGTAACATATCCAATACACCGGTGTCTCGCGTGGGGGGTGGGTCTTTTGGATTCCCCCGCGAGCATGTCCATCGAAAGACGATGAAAGTAGCGCGAACGAGAAGGGCACCTTCGCCGGGCGAGAAAAAAAAAGGCGTGTGGCTGTGTGTGTGTGTGTGTGTGTGTGTGCGCACGCCAGTGTGCATGTGCAGACAGGCCGAGCAAAAACAAGCAGCGGGGAGCGAGGGGGCGGGCAAAGGAAGAAAAACACGGAACACAGGGGAAAATAGGGGTGTTTCTAGTAAAAAGGGCGGAGAGAGGCACAGAGAACGATGGATCGGAAAAACAGGCAGGCAGCCACAGAGCATGGCCGCCCCCCGGTCGCCCGTCCACGGCCGTGGCCAGGGGGGGGAGAGAGAGAGAGAGAGAGAGAGAGAGAGAGAGCAAGACAAGGAGAAGCAGGGCCACCCCTTCGAGGGTGGCAGCAGGGGGGGGGGGGGGGGGGGAGAAGGGGGAGAGAACGACCGGAGGGGACACAGCCCCACAAACCGGCCGACCGGCACACGGGAGACCGGCCGCCGGACCATGTGCGCGCACTCTCAGAAGTCACTGAAATCCATGCGCAGCTTCGACTGGGAGGCAGCCGCGCGCGAGGCATGCGACGACGACGAGGACGACTGCCCGGTCGCCGACGCCGACGCCGACGCCGACGCCGACGCCCCGGTCGACTGGTGATAGGTGGGGTTCTGGCGCTGGGCCACGCGCAACAGGGCCGGGTCCACGCGCGACCGCCAGGGCTCGATGCTGGACCGGAAGGCCGCCGGAGCCAGGAGACCGGCCTGCAGCAGCGAGTCCGCGGCGATGTCGCTCTCCGGCGGGACAACCGCCGCCCCGCCGCCGGGGCCCGGCTCGAACATCCAGGCCGCATGGACCGCGGCAATCAGCTGCATGCTGGTGGCCGTGGAGGGCCAGTGCAACTGCCCGGCCACCGACTCCCCGTCACCGGGGCCCGGCAAGTCCGCCAGCGGCCGGGTGATGCCATCCAGCGCCACCGACACCGACAGCACGCTGACCAACAGGCGCAGGGCCTCCTGCAGCAGGGCCGGCGGGTAGAGGCGCCCGGTGGTGGCCGCCGGGCCGGCATCCGGCTGGGCCGGCCCGGCGGCCACCGCGGCCGCCAGGGCCGACGCATCGCTGGCCAGCGAGGCCACCACCCGCGGCACCACCGCCGTCAGGATGTCCTTCGCCAGGCAGAGGCGCGGGTCGTCGGCCGTGTGCAGGTCGGCCGCCGCGGCCACCGCCAGCGACAGCAGCGTGCGCGAGCACCGCAGGGCGGTCAACTGCGCGCACGACGAGTAGGCCGGGCTGACGCCAACCTCGGCCAGCCGGCCCACCAGGAAGTCCCACACCTGGCCGGGGGCCGGCATCAGGCCGGCCGCTGCCGACTCGCCAGCCGGCGACTGTGAAGAGGAGCAAGGAGACGGGCCGCCGGCCGCCGCCGGGGCATCGGACTCGCGCCCCGGGCCGAAGGCCTGCGGCAGGGCCGACACAATCAGGCTCGAGTAGCGCACCGACGGGGCGATGGCCGAATAGGGCGACGTCAACAGCGCGTGCACCACCAGCAGGGCGATGGACCCCGGCAGATGCTGCGGCTGCTCCGAAGCCGCGTCCGGCGGGGCGATCGACGATGATGGCCCCGGGTCCGCCGCGGGCTTCGCCGAGGCCGGGTCCTGGCGCAGGAGCTCCAGCAGGGCCAGGGCCAGCGGCAGCTTCGACCGCTGGCCCTCCTCCGAATCGTCGTCATCCAGCTGCAGGTGGGAGCAGCCGCCGGTGGCGCCGGCCGAGGCCGGGTGGTGGTGCCCATCGTCCGACCCGGCGCCGGCCCCGGGCCCGGCGGCCGACAGGTCGATGGCCCCGATGCCAGTGCCGGCGCCGGCCGCCGCGCCGCCGGCCCCACTCAGGTCGCCATCCTCCGAGCCGCTGCCCGGCGGCTGGTCCGCCGACATCGGCGCCGCCAGCATGGCCGAGCACACCGCCGCAAAGAGCTGCGCAATGGGCATGGCCCGGACCCCGGGCACGCCGGCCGGCTGCCCGGCGTCCGCATCCGCACGCAGGGCCACACGCAGGAAGCCCGCCAGGGCATGCAAGGCCAGCGGGGCCACGCGCGTGCTCAACACCGCCACCATCGGCGAGATGCCCGCGGCGAGGGGGGCCGCCGCGCCGGCCGCACCGGGGCCGAGCCCCTCGCCACCGGGGCCGCCGCCGGCCGCCGGGTCCATGGCCATGGAGGACCCCCCGGCCGGGGGGGCCATCATGGCGCCGGCCCCGGTCGGGGGACCGCCGGCGCCGGCGCCGGCACCGGCACCAGCACCAGCACCACCGGCCGCCATGCCGCCACTGGTGGCCCCCACCGCCGCACTGCCCACCGAAGACTGGCCGAAGGTGTGGAAGTAGTGGTCGGCCGCGGCCAGCACCGGCGACGAGGCGCCGAAGCCCAACTCGCGGGGCAACCGCCGCGGCGCACACCGGATCAACACATCGACCACGATGTGAGCCAGCGCATGCGCCGGCTGCCGGTACAGGAAGGGGGCCGGGGTCCGGCCGGAGGCCGACCCGCCACCGGTGGCCTCCTCGGCCGCGGCCGCCGGGAACAGCGACCCCGGCTGGATGACCGCGCACAGGGCCTGCACCAGGTGGCAGGCAGCCGGCATCACATGCAGCAGGCCTTCCTGCATGGCCCGGCGCAGGGCATGCGACAGGGGGAACAGCAGGGCCGGCGGCACCAGCGGCACCGCGGTCTTCAGCCCCGGCCGATGCTCATCCAGCAGCCCCAGGCACCGGGCCACCAGGCGCAAGCACACCACCGACAGGGGATTGGCCAGGAGCTCGGCCAGGCCGGCCGCATCGCCGAAAGCCACCGAGAAGGGATCCGCCCGGTGGGCCTGCCCGGCCGTGGACCACACGCAGAAGGAGGCCAGCCGGGCCCCGGGAGAGGCCCCGGCCCCGGCCGCCTGGCCGGTGGCCGAACACTGCCCGGCCACCAGCGACGAGATCACCCCCCCGAAGGAGGAGTCCCCGGCATCCGGGGAGGCCAGCTGCGCCACCCGCCGGACCAGCGAGTCGACCGTCAGCACCAGCAGGGCCGCGGTGTTGGCCGCGGCGATGCGCTGCTCCGCCTCCGCCGGATGCCCCCCGCCCGGGGGGAGGCCCACATCGGCCGGCACATGCAGCAGGGCATCCAGCAGGGCCGCATCCGGCAGGGCCAACAGCGCCCGGACCAGCGAATGCCGCACATTCAGGTAGAAGGGCAGCAGCGTCTCGCTGGGCGCGGCGGCCAGGCTGCCACCGGCCGACGCACGCCGGCACAAGGCCCGCAGGGCGGCCATCCACTCGCGTGCCAGCTCCACCACATACCCGCCGGCACCATCGGCAATGCCGGCGTGCCGAGCAGCGGTGGCGGTGGCGACGGTGCCGCCGCTGCCGGCGGTCGGCCCGGCCGAGCGGAAGACCGCGGCCAGGTCGATCGGCGCGCATGCCGGCGCCGGGAGGTCGTCCTCGCCGAGATGGGCCGCGGCCGCGGCCGCCGCCGCCGCCGCCGCCGGCGCCGCCAGCTGCCGCACGCGCAAAGCCGAGTACATGGTGGCCAGGGCCGCCAGCGAGGACACCCGCAGGGCACGCTCGCCGATGTTGGCCCCGGTCACATTCGAGTCGTCCTCGTGCCAGAGGCTGCTGCCATGGGCCAGGCACTGGCGCACCAGCCCGGCCATCCGCGCCGCATCATGGGCATCGGTCAGCACCGGCGAGGCCAGATACTCGGCGCACACGGCCGTCGCATGGGCCCGGACCAGGTACGAATAGCGACCGGCCGCCGGGGCCGTGCCCTCGGCCGCCGCGGCCCCGCCCACCGGCGTGACAAAGGCCGGCCGTAGGGAGGCCGAAATCTGCGCCTGATACTGCTCCAGGAAGGAGTGCCCCTCGAGCTCGGGATCCGGCACCGGGCCAAAGTACCGGATGATGGTCCCCAGCAGCGACAGCCCGGACGATTGCAGGGCCGGCACCGCCTGCGACGTGGCCGCATTGAAGGCCACCCGGACCAAGTCCGCCAGCCGGTGGACCAGCGGGGCGTCCGGCGCGTCGGCCGGGCCACGCGGCCCGGCCGCATCAAAGTGCACCGGGTTCGAGGACAGCTGGATGATCAGCGAATTGAGGATGTCAATCAGCAGGGCCTTGGTCTGCCAGGGCAGCGGCGCCAGCAGGCGATAGTGCACCAGGCGCGAGTCCACGGCCACCGGGCTGCCGGCTGCCGGGCTGGCATCCTGCTCGGCATCCTCCAGGGCGTCGGCCAGCGAAGGGCTGCCGGAAGCGGAGGCAGCCGCAGCCGCCGCCGCAGCGGCCGCCGCCGCCGCCGCACCGAACCCCGGCCGCGGGATGGTCCCCGCCAGGGCGCTGTTGCCGGAGAAGGCCGCCATGCCGAGGCCCACCCACCGGGCCGCGTGGCTGTGCGACGCCCCGAGCACCAGGTCCATGAGGACCGACGAGATGAGGGCCAGCACCGCCGGCCGGCGCTCGGCCGCATGCAACCGACACAGCTGCTCATCCAGGAAGTAGGACGACCGGAGGACCACCCCGGCCGACCGGCCGATCAGCTGACGCAGGCAGCCCAGCGCCGCCTGGCGCAAGTCCGCCACCTCCAGGCACTGCTGCAACACCGGCACCAGGGCCGGCACATTGGCGAAGGACGGGGCAAACAGCAGCAATTGCTCCCGCGTCCGGAGGGCCTCCCGCGCGGCGGCCAAATCCGACGACACCTGCATCTCGTCGACCATGCTGAAGATGAGCTCGCGATTGGGCCGCACCGAGGGGTCCAGCTCGTCCGGCATGGCCAGCTCCGGCCCCAGCAGCAGGACCAGCCCATTGACCAGCCGGCCCAGGGAAACCGGAATCCCATAGGAAGCCGACGCCTCGGCCGGCAGGGCAAGCCACCCCTCGCCGGAGAGGCCCCCGGCCCCGGGCCCGGCCCCGGGCCCGGCCACCAACGACGACAGGGCCGACCCCGGGACACTGGCACAAATGTTGACCGACTGATTGGACAGGATGATCGGGCTCAGGGACAGGTCCCCGCCACCGCCATCGGTTTCCAGGTACCGGCGCGAGAGCAACGACAAGACGGCCTGCGTGAAGGGCCGGAAGGCCACCGAAGCCACATCCAGCACCGTGGCCAGCGCATGCAACGCATGCGCATGCACCAGGTGATCCCCATCGCACGCCAGCGAATTGAGGATGCCCACCGTGTCGTGCAAGTGCGAGGAGGCCGACATGACGCCCACATGCCGCAGGGTATACCCAATGGCCAGGGTGTAGCCGGCGCGGATGAACCCATCCGATGCCGGGATCGCATGCTTGACCAGGGTCCGGATGGCGGCACTGCTGCCCCCGGTGGCAGTCACCTGCGACGCGGCCGTCACCGCGGTCAGCCGGCCAAAGGCCTCGGCCGCCACCGTGCGCAGCAACAACGAGAAAGGTCCCCCGGCGCCGCGTTGCAGCACCGCCAGGATGAGCCCCTGCAAGCGCACATGCAGGGCTTCCACCCGGGCCGGGAAGTGCCGAGTGGCCATGCAATAGCGCAACATGCCCAGCACCGCCAGCATGCCATACACCAGCACCGACACGGCCCGGTCCACGGCCGGCGTCGAAGCCAATGGCCGGCGCGACTCGGCCAGACTCCGGCTGAAGGGGTCCAACACGGCGAAGGCCGCCTCCATGTGGTGAGCCAGCCGGCCCAGCAGGGCCACCTGGGCCGGCTCCGTTTGGCAGGCAAACATCCGGGCAAAGGCCCGCACCGCCGCATGGACCACGGCCACATCGGCCGACAGCGGCCGGGCCAGGAGCGACGTGAAGGACGACGCCCATGGCAGCAGGACACTGAAGAAGTCATTTTCCAATGCCCCCGGCAGGGCCCGGGTCAGGGCGTCCAAATCGCAATCGCCATCCGTGTCATCGGGCAGGGCCACGCGCGCGGCGCCCCCGCCCCGGGTGGCCGCCACAATGCCCGCCACATGGTGGTCATACTGCGAGCAGAATTCCGACGCCAGCGGCATGGCCGCCGCGTCGACATCCGTGGCCGCCGCATGGGTCCGGTGGGTTTGCCCGCCGAAGCGCAAGGACAAGCCGGCCCCGGCGAAGCCCGGCCCGGAGGCATCGCCCCCGGTGCCGGCGGCCACCGCCACCGCGGCCGCCGTCGTGGCCGCCGACCGGCCCAATGCCGCCTCCGACCCGCACAAGACCTCCACCGCGGTGGCCAGCAACTCCGGGCCGCCCTTGGTGGCGATGCCGATCCCGGCGTAGCAGGAATACAGTCGCAGCCGGATGAGCCGATCATCGAACGGCACCCCGGGCACCCCGGCCGCCGAGGCCAGCAATTGCGTGGTGTAGGACAGCAGGCGCAGGGCCACCAGCTGCAGGCTGGCGCCGCCGGCCGCCGACTCGCCCCCGGTGGCACCCGTCGTCGTCGTCGTCGTCGTCGTCGCCGCCACCCCGGACCCCAGGCCGAAGGCCGTCGGGTAGTGGTGCAGGTGCCACAGGCAGCCGTGAACCACAAAGCGCTCCAGGGCCCCGAGGGCGCCCTGCAAATTGCGCAGCAGCATGCGCCACTCGACCGGCGACCGGGCCGAGGTCCCCTGCTGGGTGACCATGGTGAAGGCCTCGATCAGGGGATCCCGCCACCGGGCCATCAGGGCCGGGCCATGCGTGCAATAGGCACCGATCAGCAGCCAGGCCATGTCGCTGAGGGCCACTTGGGATTCCAGCCACTCCGGCAGGCACTGCCCGAGCGAGGGGTTGGAGCTGACCGCCGACACGGCCGCCTGGCGGACCAGCGCCCCGGTGCGCAGAGTGGCGAAGGCCCGGTCGGCGGTCGCCGCCAGCGAGGCATTTGCCTGGGTGGCATCCAGCCAGGCCGGGCCCAGGACCGCCAGGCCGGAGGCCGCCAGCGACAGGCCGGAGGCCGCCAGCGAGCCGGCCGGCGCCGCGGCCGCCGCCGCGCTCAGTGCCCCGCCGGCCGGCTCGGCCGCCGGCGTCGAGGTGGAGGACGACATCATTTGCGGGGCCGGCGCCCCGGGCCCGGTGCCGGCCGGCGCCGGCAGGCCAATCCCGGCCGCCGCCTGCAGGGCCGCCGGCGCGGCCGACGAAAACCCGGCCAACGTCGAAGCCACCAGGTCCGCATCCGACATGGTGGCCAGCGAGGTGAGCCCGGTTTGCAGGCCGGTCGGCGGGGCACCGCCAGCCCCGAAGGCCGGCCCCGGGGCCGGGGCCGACCCGGTGGCCACACTCCCCAGGGCCGGGCCGCTGGTCGGCAGCAGGACCTGCGGCGTTTCCGACGCCAGCATGGCCGCCGCCGCCGCGCCCGCACCCCGAACCCACACACTCCGGACCACGGCCCCGCCCGGGGCAAAGGCCGCCGGCATCAGCTCATGCAGGGGCCGCGCCCGGGCGGCGCCATTGCCACCGGCGCCGGTGGCCGTGGCGGCGCCCGCCGGCGACACCCCGGCCGCGGCCAGCAGCTCCGGCGGGCTGGACGCATCGACCGCCGAAAAGACCGCCGCCGCCAGCAGGGCCCCGGCGCCGGAGGCCCCGGTCGGGAAGCAGGCCGCGAAGTAGGCGCGCGAGGCGCCGGCCGCCGCCGCCCGCACCGCGTCCACACTATGGCCATAGCACCGGACCAGCGGCGAGTGCAGCAGGCTGCGCATGCGCTGGTCGATGGTCTCCTCGGGGCCGGACCCGGACCCGGACCCGGACCCGGACCCGCCGGCCGCCACGTCGGCCGGGCCGCCGGCCGGGGTGGAGAAGGCCGCCGAGCCGAGCGACGCGGCCAGGCGCCCGGCATGCGACGCCAGCACCGCCAGCGACACCGCGGCACCGGCATTCTCCGGCGGGCTGTCCACCAGGGCCTCCATCTCGAGGGACACCACGCGCAGCATGCCGGCCAGGCCGGCCTCGCTGTCCAGGCGCTTGGCAATGCGCGACAGGAGGTAGGCAACGGCCGACCGGGCCACCAGCACCTCCGGGTGCTTGAGGGCCGCCTCGGTGGCCGCCACCGACAGGGCCTGCGCCCCGAGCGGGGCATTCAGGCTGGCCGAGGCCAGCGGCGGGGTGCCGGCCGGGCCGCCGGCTCGCGGCGACAGGGCCCCACCCGACTGCGCGCAGATGGCCGCCCGGTGGTGATCGGCAATCGGCGCCAGCAGCTGCTGGGTGATGTGCGCCACAAAGGCGTGGAGCTGGTCGCCGCTCAGCAGCGGGTGCGGGGCGGCCCGGCTGTGCGGGCTGCCCAGCAGCTCCAGCACCCGGTCATAGGCATTCATGATGCCGATGCGCTGGCCCACCGGGATGTTGGCCCGGGAAAATTGCAATGCCAGCGGGGCGAACAGCGAATTGATCAACCCCAATGACGGGGTGGCCTCGATGGAAGCCAACGAGGCGCCGGTGTCGCCGGCCGGCCCGGACCGCCGCATGAGGAACGACCCGAAGGAGGAGGTCAGGGACTTGGCCGGCACCGGGCCCGTGGCCCCGGGCCCGGGGGCCCCGCCACCCGGGGCCGAAGCCCCGCCAGGCCCGGCCCCACTGCCGGACATCGAAGAGGCACCGGCACCCGGCAGGCTGCCGGCATAGCCGGCACCGCCATGCGGCTTGACATCATCCCCGGTCTCGGGGTCCAGGGCGACGGAGCCCGGCGTGCCGGCCGGCGAGCCGGCCATGCCGCCCCCGGCACCGACCCCGGCCCCGGAGGCCACCCCGGAAAAGGCCGGCAAATGCAGCAGCACAAAGGCCAGCGTGTGGGACATGGCCAGCCGGCAGCTGGCACTGGCGCTGGCGTCCTCCAGCGACTTGAAGATGATGGCCACCAGCTGCTGCAGCCCGGCCGGGTCGACGAATTGACAGGACACCAGGGCCTCGATCAGGCGAAGCCCGGCCAGCCGCAGGGCCGGCGTCAGGAGCCGGTTTTGCGGCGGGGTCGACTCGACCGACGCCCGGGCGATCTTGAGCGCGCTGCGCACGGAGCTGGTGCTGATGCTCACCTGCAGGGTGGCCGGCACCTTGACCGGCGAGCCGGGCCCGGCCACCAGCGCCCGCAGGCCGGCCAGCTGCTCGGACATGCGCGTCTGCTCCTGGGAGATCCGGTGGTAGGGCGACAGGGCGGTGTTCGGCAGCCCGGAGAAGCAGAGGACCAGGCACTCGAGCAGCTCGACGCGCATGGTGGAAGTCTGTGCGTGTGGGGGGGG